AACTGTAGTGGGGGACCTAAATATCCCACTATCACAAATAGACAGATCATCCAGACAAAAATGAACAATGAAATACTAGAACTGAACCAAGCTTTTGAACAAATGTAATTAATAGACAACTACAGAGTGTTCCATCCCACAAAATCAGAATATACATTCTTTCAGCTGCACATGGGTCATTCTCCAAAACAGACCACATACTAGTTCATAGAACATGCTTAAATAAATGCAAAGGAACTGAAGTTATCCCATTATATTATCAGACCATAGTGCAATTAAACCAGAGATCAATAGCATAAGAAACCATAAGAACTTCACAAACACATGGAAACTGAACAACACTCTCCTGAATAATCAATGGATCACAGAAGAAATCAGTCAGTTTTTTACAAACAAATAATACCAATACAACATACGGGAATCTATGGGACACAATGAAAGCAGTTCTACATAGAAAATTTACAGCAGTGAATGCTCACACTAGGAAAACAGTGAGCTCAAATAAGCAACCAAATGAGGAATCTTAGGCTCTTAGCAAAAGGAGAGCAAGAAAAACCCAAAGCTCGTACAAGAGAGGAAATTATAAAGATTAGTGTAGAAATCAATGCAATGGAAACTAAGAGAATGATACAAAAAAAAAATCAATGAATAGAAGAGTTGGTTTTTAAAAAGAATAAAGTCAATAAACCCTTAGCCAACCTTGTCAAAAAAAGGAGAGAAAAGGCTCAGATCCATGCAATTAGGAACAAAATAAGTGAAGTCACAACAGATCCAGCAGAAATCCAGAGAATCAATAACTATTTCGAGAACCTGTATTCTAATAAAATGGAAAACAGAAGAAATGGACAGATTTCTTGATAATTATGAACTGAACTTATGAATTGATACATATGAGTTGTATTCTAATAAAATGGAAAACAGAAGAAATGGACAGATTTCTTGATAATTATGAACTGAACTTATGAATTGATACATATGAGTTGAATGAAGAAGATAAAAAAAATTCTAAAAACCCTAATTACAATCAGTGAAATTGAAAACATAATTAAAAGTTTACCAACTAAGAACAGCCCAGGTCCTGATGGTTTCACTACTGAACTCTACAAGACATTTAGAGAAGAACTACTGCCACTACTCTTTAAACTTTTCAATGAAATTGAAAGGGAGGCAAAACTTCCAAATTCATTCCTGGAAGCAAATGTTACTTTGATTTCAAAACCAAGGAAAGACGGTATCAAAAGAAAAAGAACTACAGGCCAATCTCCTTAAATGTACACAGATGCAAAAATCCTCAATAAGATACTGGCAAACAGAATACAGAGTGTCATTGGAAGAAAAGGGCTAAAGGTGTACGAAAAGTGGGAAGGGTAGGGGAAAGGAAATAAGGGAAAAGAAAAAATATGAGAAAGGAAAAAATGGAAACAAAGTCTTTATAAATAGGGGAGGGTGGAGTGGGTGAAGGGAGGGCAGAGGTATGAGGAAAAAATGAGAACTAAGATCTGTCATGTAAAGGTACAATGTGATTCCAATGACGAATGTAACTGTACTGTATACTTAAAAAGTACCAATAAACTCAATAAAAAAGAAAAAAAAATTAGCAGACGAATTAACACACTTGAAAAGTACTAAAGACTCCCATTAACTATAGAAAAACTGAAAGCTACCAATGAACCCTAAATTTTCACTTAATTCATTTAGCTGTTTTATGCATTATAGGATGGTTAGCAGCAACCCTAACCACCCATCCACCAGATGCTAGTAGCTGTCTCCTAGCTGAGACAATCAAAAGTATTACCAGATATTGTCAAATGTTCTCTGCAGAGTAAAATCACACTTAGTTGAAAATCACTGGCATAATGCAATAAAATTTTCAAGTGATCTCACAAATGCTGCTAGAGAAACAAAGATAATAAGATTGTAAAAATAAATTGGAGGTGGGCAGTAGCACTGTATTCACTACTCACAAGGTTGGATTCAGCATAAAAAGGGCAGTATAGAGGAAATATTGTATTGTAGAGGGATTAACTGAAGAACAAGTAGTAAAAATCAAAGTTCATGTAGGACTGAGTGAAATAAAAATTTTGAAAGAAAAGAAATAGAATAAGAAAGAATTGCGCTTAAATATGACAGCAGTTGAAATGGAAAATATGGAGCTTGCAATGATGGGCAGGGCTATACTGGCCTAGCAGTCATCGAACAGTAGTTACACTGGCACTAGACAAGTAGATCCATAAATTATAAATGCAGTGAAAAATAGGTATCTGTAGTTTTTCTTCCTTAAGTGTGTTTACACTACATACTACACCTCCTAAATATAATTTTCCCTTTTTAAAATTATTCTTTTAACTTCGAAGTTTTAATTAAAAAAATTATGTAAAAGCAACAGAAATTTGTTTAGAACACTAGGTAGACAAATTATAGTTTGCTAATTGACTTGATGTCTTTAATTTTTCAAGTCTTTATGTTGCTAATAGTTAATACATCATGACATTTTGTTAAATCTTTCACTATAAATCAATTTCAACCAGGTTTGATAGCGCACAACTATAATCCTAACACTTTGAGAGGCTGAGGCAGGGGGAGGCAAGTTTGAGCCCAGCCTGGAAAAATTAGCAAAACCCTGTTGCAAAATAACAAAAATAACAAAGGGCTGGGAATGTAGCTTTCTGTGAAGGCCCTAGGTTCAATAGCCAGTATTACAAAAACCAAAAAAAAACCTTCAAACAAATCTAATTTTAAAATCACAATGCTAAAAATACACAACACATTTTAAGAGCTAGCAACCCCACTTCTTAGTATATACTCAAAGAACTGAAAGCAAGACATTACTCACAATAGCCAAAAGTATAAGCAGCCCAAGCATCCACTGCCAGATGAATGGATAAATAAAATGTGGCATAACATATCATATAATATTATTCAATCTCAAAAAAAGAAGGGAATTCTGATACATGACATAATATGGAGGAACTGAAGACATTGTGCTACTTGAAAAAGTAAAAAAAGTCATGTAACTGCATGACTGTATATACCTAAGCAGTTAAAATATTCAAATTCATAGAGATAGAAAGTAAAATTACCAGGGGCTGGAGGGAGGGATGCACGTAGATTAGTGCCTAATAAGCACTGAATTTCAGTTAAGGAGACAGATGGCAGTGACAGTTGCAGAGCAGTGTGAACATACTTAGAGCCACTATGCACTTACAACAGTGTATTTTATACCTGATCTTAGACAAAAGGCCGAGAAGCAATTACAAGAGCGTATTTTATGTTATGAATATTTTACCAAAATAACAAAACACCACCAACCTAATAATACCCATTTTTTAAAATCTTCATTACATGCTTTTAATAATTATAAGAAAAGGTAAAAGGGCTGGGAGTGTACCTCAGTGACAGAGCACTTGCTTGGCATGTGTGAGACCCCTTGTTTGATACTTAGCACCACACACACATTCAAACTGAAGACAACATTCACTGCATAGATTTCATATATTACTCACATTGTCCTGAACTGCTTCACTTTTCTCTAGGTTTTCCTCTGGATAAACCTTCTCTTTCAGACCACTCTTGGGACTCTAATGAGAAAAAAAAAACACAGAAAGATCTTCAGTTCATTTCAACAGGCTCACAAAAGCAGATTGAGAAAAAATAATTTTTTGAATATTATATTTGCATTTAAACTGTAATACCTTTGCTACTTCTCCCCTGACTTTAGGAAGTCAATCCCTCAGCTTTGTAGTTTTATATTTATGAAGAATATAGAAGTAATAAAATAATTTTACCTCATCTTCGGGCTTGGAGATTACTTTTCTACTAAATAACTCTAACTAGATATATTACATATCTCAAACTCATAATGTCAAAGTCATAGTCTATCCTTATCTTCCCTCACCTTTCCCTTCCCTAACTATTCCTTCTTTCCAAGTAAAAAGCATTTTTTTCATATTTATATGAATGCAGTAAGATTTGTCTAGTTTTCTGTTACAACCTCATGTAAAACCTGCTATGTGGATTTTCATAAAATTTACAGACTGTTGGAGATGCCTTAATGTAAAATACAAACTATATGATATGGATAAAATTCACTACCCTAAAGCAATGAACTCATTCTCTAGAACAACTAAAATGGAGGAACAAGAACTTATGTAGGAACACCATAGGGAAGACACATGTTACCTATACACATACCAAGATATCACAAAATAGAGAAAAGAGTACTCTCAAAAGTATGGCCTATCTTGGAGAAATATATGACTGTAAATCTTAAGATATTAACCAAGGCCTGTCATGTAAAGATATAAGATCCCAATGATGAATGTAACTGTACTGTATACCTAAAATGTACCAATAAACTCAATGAGGAAAAAAAATCTTAAGATATTAAAAGGTAAGATTAGAATAATACCATCACAAAAACCAAAAAATTATCAAAGATACTGTTGATTCCTGTTAAAAGTAAGTTGAGCTCCAAGATATCAAAAAGAAATAATTCATGTTAGAGTTTGAGTTAAAAATACCACATAAGCAAGCACTCACGCACACATGCATGCACATGTCCCTACCTCACCTTTGGAATCTGGTAAGGTATCAACTCTTGTGAAAAGATTACAAGGGAAGTATTTATCTTGGATTTCCTGTGAAAGTCATATTTTAAGGTACCTAGTAGTACTGTAGGACTTCCTGTATAAGTTATATTTTAAGGCAACCTAATAGCAGTAAGGGAAAACACTAGATGGGGAACTTTATCATAAAGGAATCAGGCTGACATCACCTGCACACCTTAAACAAACTGAGAACCACAGTAAAACAACCAGACATTAACTCCTAATGTGATGTAGTGAACCACCTATGAATTCTTCTTGGCAAACAATAACTATCAAACTTTAATCTGATCAAGACTCTATCAGTTTTCAGGAAATAAAGATAGCGGAACTAAAAAGTTATAAAATGACGTGAAAATAAAGTAGAACAGTTATTCTTTTTAAACTGGATACATGGTGCTCACCTCAGTAGCACATATATACTAAAATTGGAACGAAACAGAGAAGATTAGCACAGCCCCGAGCAAGGATGACATGCAAATTCGTGAAGCGTTCCATATTTTTAATTAGAGTTATTCACAGGAAAATGAATACATATTGAGGATATACTCAAGTGAAATAAGTAAGTCACACATGTGTAAATACTGAATAGCTTCTCTGGTGTGAAAAACTGTAATTGTACATAAGATCCTAATGGTATAATTGACAATGTGAAATAGGAAGAAAAGGGCTAAAGGTGTAGGGGAAGTGGAAAGGGTAGGGGAAAGAAAATAAAGGAAAAGAAAATAAACATGAGAAAATGAAAAAATGGAAATAAAATATTTGTAAATAAGGAAGGGAGGAGGGGGTGAAGGGAGGGCAGAGGTATGGGGAAAAAAATGAGAACCGAGACCTGTCATGTAAAGGTACAAGATCCCAATGATGAATGTAACTGTACTGTATACCTAAAATGTACCAATAATCAATGAGAAAGAAAAAAAAAATGGACACATGACTCAATTTCTTTAACAAAACAAAAAACAGGAAGAATAAAAGAGAAAGGCAGAAAGCTTATAAATGGCAGAGCCTAAAATAACTTATCAACCAAAGGTAATATGAAAACTTTGAATCTTCATTCAAATAAACTATAAGATCAGCATTATAAGAAAATTAGAATAAACTATATTAAGAAAATATTAATTCTTAAGGTTTGATGACCATATTATATTCACCTGATAAAAACACATATTAATGGAATAAAGTCTTGGATTTACTTTAAAGTAAGTCAGTGTCAGAGGATGTGGAAAACAGGAGTGACAGACAAAGCAGGTCTGAGTGCATGCTGACAGCCACTGAGGCTGTATTATCAGGACATCACAGGGATCATTAGGCTAGTCTCTACTTTTGATTACATTTGATACTTATCCAAATATAATACTTTAAAAAAATTCATAAATTGAAAACCAGAGGCAGATGCTCTAAATTTTAGATGCTCATGTGTGATCAAGGTGCCCATCTTGAAAGAGCTGGTAATGTAGAATTATTTAGAGACTTTATCAAGTAGCCAGTCATGGTGTTATATGCCAGTAATACCAATACTCTGGGAAGCTGAAGCAGGAGAATCCCAGGTTTGAGCCCAGCCCAGGCAATTTAGCAACTTATTATAAAGGCCTTAGGGTTCAAAGCCTGGTCCTATAAAACAACAATAACAACAACAAAAACATCACCAAGGTGAACAAAGTTGAGATTTTTTTTTTTTTTGGTTTTGTGAGACAGGGTCTCACTATATAGTTGAGACTGACCTGGAACTCACTATGTAGCTCAGGCTGGTCTCGAACTCACAGCCTCCCGAGTGCTAGGATTACAGGCGTGCGCCACCATGCCCGGCCAAAGTTGAGATTTTTTTAATTAACAGTAATTCCACAAATACTACCAGAAGATCACTTTATAAAAATGAGAAGAAAATTTAAAAAATTAAAAGTGTTGATTCAAAAGTTTAGAAGGTTAATTCCTCCAAATTTACTGCAGTGCAAATGAAATAGACATGAAAATTTGTAAGTTAAAAGCAGCATAAGTTTATCCTCAGTCACTTATAAGAATTAAATACATTTGTTATGGGTTCAGCAGATATTTTAATCTTGATATCCACAATAGTCATTTATTTGTTTAGCCTTACTTTCCTCATCTATAAAATGGTGACAATGCTTAAGATTATGAGAATTTAAAAAGATTATGAGAGGGCCAGGGATTTAGCTCAGTGGCATCGTGCCTGCCTTGCAAGCACAAGGTCCCAAGTTCGATCCTTGGTACCACAAAAAACAAAAACAAACGAACAAAAAAAGATTATAAGAATTTAAAAAGAATTATCTGTAAAGCACAAAATATAACTTCTAGCACAAAATAGGTATTCAATAAATGTAAAGCCATTCACATATATGTGAATGAAGCAGAGCAGTCTTCCTACAGACTCGTCTTTCTCTCTCCCTTTCCCTCTTTCCCTTTCTCTCTCTCCCTTTCAATCTCTCTCTCTCCCTCCCTCCCTCTCTCCTCCAACTCATTTTCTATACTGATGTTTCTGATGGTGCCTCTCTTCTGTTTGCAAGATAAAGCCTAATAGTCTACTTATTCATTTTGTTGTTCATTGAAATTCTTACCAAATATTAATTACACATCAGTCTTAATTCATTGGAATGCCTACTTATATACTCACCAATTAAACTGTTATTCAATAAAGTTACATTTATTTTTTCAGGGGGTACCAGGGATCAAACTCAGGCCCTTGTGCTTAAAAGGCAGGCGCAGTGCCACTGAGCTAAATCCCCAGCCCCAATAAAGTTGTATTTCTAAGCCACTGATTTTATCACCACATTCCTCCAAAAACAAGATAAAATTCTAATTTCTCATTTGTATTACTTATGCCGATTATGCTTTGGAAACACAGAATGACATAACAGTGTCTGTACTCTCAAGAACTTCCTGTCTAATGACAGGCAATGCACAGAAACAGGGGAAGCAGCACTAAGTAAAAAACAAAAGTACATCCCCAGCCCACTATAATTTCTTTTGAGTCAAAATTAAAATTTTTCTTTAAAATCCTTAAGCCAATTATAAAACTATCACTGTCTTTCCAAAAAGTGTTCTCAGAATTTCTATGCATGAAGAATCAAGTCATTAGGTCTAATACTAAAAAAGTGGCCTGAATTATGACATAGACCAGTTTTCACATTTTTTAAGCGCTACTTTCAATAAGAGAGAAACCTTACATTGTCAATCAGTATTTATAGTGTCTATACAACAAAATCAGTGTACACAAAAAAATCACAGAATATCTCTGCTACATACAAAACAGCTTTATTACCTATTTTAGCCTTCTAAAAAAAAAAACACTAGTCACAAACCACTAATTTGATTTTATGACCCATAGTTACAAAAATGGTGGCTTCAACATCTTTAAAGAAGGTGATATATTTCTAAGATTTTATTGCTGTCATGACATACTACGTCAGTAACTCTGAACCTGGCTTTTGATATTCATGTAACTGTGGTACTATATCATATTCAACTCAATATACTTTATTATCATCTTAACAAATACCTATATTCATACTGTAGTCTCTGAGTTAATCAACAAAGTGCTGTTACTAAACCTGAGCTATTAACTGAAGTCTATCAAACAGGAGTAAGGCTTTTCCTCTTTGTAATGGCAAAGTGCCCCATGATTCAAGACTGAGTCACTCTGACCACAAATGGATTATTAACATGTTCTTAAGATATCAACAGTCAGCCTCTCGGTTCAGTAAAAAAAAATCAGTGGCATTATTAACTTCTCTACCCACAAACAAGACGCTGGCTGGGAAATTCCATTCCTGCAAAAGAAACACTTGGCAATGAATATCTAGGAGAAAAAGTCAATTGTGGAATTAAAAGCTCATATACAACAGTACCCAGGATTTCTGTTTAACAAATGCTGTATTAAAGACTGGCATGGTAAAAAGCAAGTAAAAAGACAACATCTCTAATTCACATAACTTCAAACAAGAAAGGGGCTAAAAGGAAAAACACAAGAAGACAAAGATTAAGAACACGTGATGCTTACATCCGCACTGTCACTACTGGGCCGAGACATCTCTCCACTGCTCCAGTCAGTCTTGCTCAGTCCATCTCCAGGATCTGCTTCTGTCTCAATGACAGTTAGGGAGTCACCAAAAGGTCTAGAAGGTGGAACTACAGCTCCGTCCTAAAACAAGAAAACACACACACACACACACACACACACAGAAAAGGAATGTCCATTACTGACTACATACAGAAAAAGAGTGAAACTATGTTTTACCTGGGGACTGTTAAAGGTTGTATACTATAGTGTGATTAAAAATGCTTAAGAAGTTTTACAGTAAAAAGCATAAATAACTACTAATTCTGTGGTTCTAAAATGGTATACCATAGATAGGGAAAGTGACATTTTAGTAAAAAGAGCAAAAGTTCCAGCTTCAAAATACAGTCCCCCCTAAAAGTCTGCTAATTCATGTACTTTATAGTATTTGTCTATTAGTAAAGATCATTACAATATAACTTCTGATTAACTGCCTTCCGATGGGTATAAGCTGCCAATTTTGGGATACAATGCTCTACAACATAAACCACTGTAGGCTTCCAGATCAGTAACCACAGTTTTACTGTTTAATTAGGATAAAAGTATTGTCTTGTTCAATAACAGCAATGTAAAACTGTCAGTGCTACGGAAGCAAACTGTTCAAATGTGACATAAGGACTGAAAATAATTTGTATAAATGTGCAATGAAAAGCACACTAAACCAGGAAGTCAGGAGACCTTACACAATTCATAAGCTTGAATGTGTCGCCTAACTAGTTTTTTAAAATACATCTTTTTTTTTCTTTTTTTTTTTTGGTTTTGGAGACAGTCTCACCATGTAGTTGAGACTGACCTGGAACTCACTATGTAGACCAGGCTGTTCTCAAACTCACAGAGATACTCCTGCCTCAGCCTCCCAAGTGCTGGGATTACAGGCATGCACCACCACTCCCAGCTAACACATCATTTTTTAACTTAAAAATGAATAGATTAGGCTAGATGACCTCAAAGAATCCTTTTAGTTCTATGAATTATGTGGCTTTCCTTTCAGATTTAATTCAAGAATAATGCAAAATCATCAGGTTTTACCCATTTTAAATATATATGCAATTTGTCCATTTTCCCTGAAGATGAAGTATAAAAAACTTTAGTCTAAATATGAATATTATAGAATATGTCTGACTGCATGTTAATATTATTTCTATAATTTATACCTCCATAACAAATTTTATTGAAATCTACTTTTAAAAGTTACAATGAAAATATAGTCATTAAAAGTACAAATGTGCTTTGAAATCGTCAGAATGGGTTTTAATTCCAGTTCTATTCCTATTTTAGTATATGTGCTGCAGAAATGAGCACACCAGTTCTATTCCTTCTGAGCTACATGATCTCATATAAATTGCTTAATCTGAGTTTCTCTGTACATGTAGATGGGAAAAAATAATAATACCTAAGCTCAGAGGTTTATTTTACATATTAAATATGAGAA